GTGTCACACTGAGAATCTTTTACTTAAACAGTTTGTTTTATTTAGTTTTAATAAACTTTAACTTTCACAAAATACATAAATTTGTTTATATGAATGTGGAAGTACTGAGTTGAGAAAAACGTGTCCACAAAGTGTTTGCATGGTTTTATCAAGAACAGGGCATGCTAATCTAATCTACTCCCCCTCCCCCCTTTTTTGGTCAGGTTACTAGACTGCTGTAGATGTAATTTACCTAGATTTTAGTAAAACATTTGACAAAGCATCGCCTCTCAGCTTGATTACTGGAACAGCCTGCTAATTGCTCTCCCTGCCTTAATTATCTCCCCAGTCCAGTCTTTTCTCCACGCTGATATCAAAGTGATTTTTCTTCAGCACAGATCTAACCACATCACTCAATAAACTTCAGTGATTCCTTATTGCCTACAGGATCAAATATAAACACTTCTGTTTAGCTTTTAAAGCCCTTCACAACCTTTTGAACTGTGGAAGAAAATTCCTTACTCTTTGTTTTAGGATAAGCCCACCAGAAATTTTTTTTAAATCAATTCAGATTATTCTAATTGAAACATTTCTGCTCAGAAAAAGGACCAAGGTGAAGACAGCCTTACCTCATGGCTCTGAAAATCTCTTTTCTCACAGGCCATTTCTGAGCTAAAGTTTATGATATTCTCAAACGATAGACAAACGCAGTCAGTCAATCAATAACCACTGATGAAGCACCAGGTATCTACGTACCAAGCACTCTGCTAAGCTATGGGAATACAAGAAAGGCAAAAGACACTTCCTGCTCTCAACAAGCTGACAATGGAATTAATCCTAAACATCCACAACGAGATAAAAACTTGGTTACTGAGCTTTTCGCCACCCAGCTGCATTCCTTGGGACTTCTCCATTAGGCCCCCCCCCTTTTCAACTTACCTTTTGTGAGTTGTATTCTCCCATTAGATTATAAACTCCTTGAGGGCAGGGGCTGTCTTTTCCTTTTTTTTTTTCCGGGTATCCCCAGTGCTTAGCATAGTGCCTGGCAGTTGGTAGTCACTTGGTGATATCACTATGCTAGAGTCAAGTTTCAGTGTATCCAACTGTGGCTGCTCAGACCAATATGAGCTCGGAATGTTCTACCAGTTTGGGCACAAATTAATAAATGTTTATTGACTGGCTGAGTTAACATTTTGCTTCATCAAACAGTCACTTAACTTTCAGCACACCTGTGGGGAATCATTTGCTAAAAATCATTCAAGTCCTCTTTGACCATTCCCTTCAAGGATTCTTCTTTCTAGCTGAACTCAAGAGATACTTCCATTCACTTCAGTAATCAAAGATGTCTTCTTTCTCTTCTCTGATCATTACTTAGGCAGCTAAGTGGCCCAGCGGATAGAGTGCTGGAGTCAGGAAGACCTGAGTTCAAATATGGCCTCTGAGACTTACTAGCTTGTGTGATCCTGGGCAAGTCCCTTAACATCTGTCTTCTTCAGTTTCCTCATTTGCAAAATGGGGAGTAATAGCAGCATCTACCTCCCAGGCTGATTGTGAGGATCAAGTGAGATAATATCTTTAAAGTGCTTTGCAAATCTTAAAATGCTATACAAATGCTAGCTATTATTATTATCTTAATCTAGTAAAAAAAATGGAGAAGAAGGGCTGTGCTCTTTAGCAAGTGGTCACTTGCTCTTGTTTGGTCACCATTCCACTTATTTCAGGAGGAGCCCTTTCTTGGATGGATGAAGAGAAAGGGACCTGGGGTATGTCAGAAATTAGTTAGAACTTTCTTGACAAGGATGGAGACTGATTTCATGTATAAGACATTTTTTTCAGACTCTGTAGTGAAAACTGACAAAGTTTTCCTTTCAGATGAGTACAAAAATTTCACATAAGCATATTTTTCAATGCTTTCTTAGTATTTATAAAAGAGCGGGCAGGGGCAAGGGGCTAGTCTGCTTTTCTCAGCATCTTTCCAGCTTCATTTTGCCTCACTCTTCTTCCTGCACTCTACAATTTGGCCAGCCAGCACTTCTCTCTGCTCCTCACTCGTGATACTCCATCTTTCATCTCCACACCTTTGCAGTGGTGAGCCTTCATGCATAGAATGTACTCCCCTCTTTTCTACAGCTCAGAAAATCCACTTCCTTTAAGACACAATTTCAGGCACCATCTTCTACAGAAAGCCTTTTCTGATCACCAACTCCTAGTGCCCTTCTTCCCAAACTGATCTGTATTTATTGGTATTTACTCTGCACATACACATATACGTAGTTGTATCTCTCTCCTTGGAATGTAAACTCTTTCAGAAAGATTGTTTCATTCTTTGTGCTTGCATCCCTAGCACCTAACACCTGCCTCTGTGCCTTGAACCTAGTTAGAGTTTATAAAGTCATGTTGCTTACTTGCCCGGTTGATCGTGGAGCAGATGGGGAGATGGAAACTAAAAACAGTCATCAAAAAATTGAGATGAACTTGAACAGAAGGTGTTAATGGACTGCCCCTGGGATCTGTCCTTGGACCTGGCCTATTTAACATTTTTATTAATGACTTGGTTGAAGACATGAAGGAATGCTTATCAAACTTTCAGGGGATACCACAGCAAACCAGCAAGCCAATGTGGCCCAGTATTAGATAGACTGGAGGATTTAGTTATGTCACAATACTGGAAGTAAATCTACATTTCAGAATCACAGACTCTCAAAGCTGGAGGGAAGCTTACAGGGCATCTACTCTAGTCACTACCTGAGCCAGAACCCCATATATGACATCCCCAATAACTGATTATCCAACCTTAAACTTGGCTGGAAAAGAACCATGTTTATGATCTTTTTCATCTTTTCACTCTCTTCTCATATCCACACAGCAGTGAACCTTAGGATTTGGAAATTATACTATAAGAAATTTATCTTTAAAATGTGAGCTTACTTGAGTTAATGACATAATCATTTTTTCCATAATGTTTTGCCATCTTAGGAGATACTACTAAGGACCCCCACCTGTAATGCAGAACATTATTTTGCCATTTAGGTAGTAGAACCCTTTAGGCCATGGAAACTCCAAATTCCTTAGCAAGACCCTTATCTGGCTGCTCAGGCCACAGCCCTCAGATCATATCTCTGGAAGCCTCCATTGTGAGAAAGTTTGCAGAGCATTATCATATCTACACAGAGGGAGAAGGGTGTCCTTGACCAGCCCCCAAAAAAACCTCTTCCTCTTGCCAGACTTCAAAGATCCATCCCCCTCCCTGTCCTGTATACTCCCTATATAAACCCTAGCTCGACCCCTGATGGGGGCTGCTTGATTTGGATGTGAATATCCCTGGCAGCTACGCGCTAATAATAAAGTCCACAATTTAAAATTAGCCTGGGTGGTCAACTCGCTAATTTCTCGGTATAACACACCCATATCAGACCTCAGTGATTCAAGGGTCAAATATACTTTGTGTCTACCTGTCATGCCTCCAGCTGTCTCTCTCTCAACTTGCAGGTTCCATTTCCTGGGACCCCTCAAGCCTGAATCATCTGTTGCAACCTCTTTGCCTTCAGCTTCCACCTTGTGCAGCTCTTTCTTTTATGCACTTGTAGGCTTGTTGAAACAGTCTACCATTTCTTCAGGAGTCAGCTACTTCATGGTCTCAAGCTGTCCTCAGGTCCACAAACAAATGTACTGCTGCTCTCAGTGAATGGCCAAACCAACGTATGCCACCAAAGTGTTCAAAAGCATCAAGCAGACAGGTGCTCAGGAAATGCAATAGGACAAAGGACTTTCCTGTTATCTGACATGATCTCAGCTTTGATAGGTTCTCCAGTTTGGTGATGTTGGCTTTAGGAGAATGGGATCCAGATGCTGGTCATTTCCTCTATAGTCTATATCTCCTTCCTGACCCCTGGGAAAAACCTGGGGGAATAGAGAAATTTCAATCCAAACCCACGAATTCCAACATAATTTATCTGCACACACAGCACTCCTAGAAACCCAAGGAAGCTCCACAGTTAAATCTGTGTTTTCACTAATCACTAGGATGGGCCCCTGGATTGATGTAGCCTAGAGATGTTTCTCTGAATCCCCCAGCTAATCCATAGCTTGAGTTGATATTCTTCATTGCTCTGGATCAGGCTTGTTGTCCTGTATCTAAACTGGAACTGGTCCAGGCTCCATGAAGTATGAAGAGATAGACACTTGGCAAAGGTCCATAACCCTTTTTATAAGTCCTTTACATTTTGGAATTCATCCATCTCCATGACCTTGACCTGACTCCAAGCTAATTGATTCAGTGTGACTTTCTGCAAGTCACTTCATTTCTTTATGTCCCATAGTCTTAATGTGTAAAACATTGTATTAGGTGATTTTTAAGGTCCCTTCCAGCTTTCCCATTTGGGGATTGTGTGTGGTTGTGTCCATGAAAACCTAAAGTCCCCAGAGAAGGTGGTGATGATGAAGAGTTGTGAATCTTTGGGACATGCTTTATAAAAGTCTGACAGTTAACAAATAAGCAATTCCTGGAGCAGACACCCTCCCTTGGGTTTTCTCTTGGAAGTCACGGGGAACAAGAATTGAGTAAAGGGAGCAGGGGTGGGGAACCTTGGCCTCCAGGCCACATGTGGCCCTCTGGGTCCTCAAGTGTGGCCCTTTGACTGAATCCAAACTTCACAGAACAAATCCCCTTAATAAAAGGATTTGTTCTTTAAAACTTAGGTTCAGTCAGAAGGCCGAACCCAAGGACCTAGAAGGTCACATGTGGCCTCGAGGCCGAATGTTCCCCACCCCGGGCAGGGTGACAACTTTTTGGAGTGGTCTTCTATGAAGCTGAGATCTTCTGAGTTTGCCCAATGAGTACACCACCGGCAGGAAGAACAACCACATAGAGCACAATGCCAACACTTCTGGCAAAGCAGCCAAAGCCAACTACATACCATGCCCGTCCAGCCCCGCTCCCGGGTGGATTCCCAGAGCTTCCAGGCTGGCCCCAAGCACGCGCTGGATCACGTGACTCGCCCTCTGCTCCCCTCTTCCCCCTCCCACCCTGGAAGCCCCTGTGCTCTGTTCCTTTTGCGCTCTGGGGCCCGCGCTCCCAGCCGTTAAGGCGCTTCATTCCCATGGCAACCAGCGGGGCGGGGAGGATTCCGCCGTCTCCATGGCAGCCGGGACGCCTCCCGCTTAGCTAGGCCAGAGCGGTGCTGCGAGAATAGTTCAGGCGCGGCGGAGGTGAGGACCCTCGGCGACATGAGGGGAGCGGAGGCCGCGGTGGCGGCGGCCACCGCGATGCGAGACGAGGACGAAGACGAGGACGAGGAGGAGGAGAGGGAGCAGCAGCCACAGCCACCACCGCCGGTCGGGGTCGCGTGTGCCGTCTGTGGAGAGCTTAGCAGTGGGTGTAACCCGGCCCGCGTTAAACCCTGTGAGTAGGGACCCTCCCCAGCCGGGGCGCCCCTGGCCAGACTGGAGCGAGGGAGGGGGCCCTCCCGTCCCCCGAAATCCGAGGGCCGTGCTTAATCAGCTCTGGCGTTCTGCCAGGACATCCTGGGATCACGGAATGTAGGAAGCTGGAAGGATCCCTGGAGAGCATCTCCACCGACCCCTTACTGTACTGAAGAGGAAACTGAGGCAGCCTGATGCAGTGTAATGAAAGTACTGGGTTTGGAGTCCGAATCCTTGGGAGGTGGGAACTAGATCAAGTGGCTTTGCCTGCCTATTGCAGGCTCAAAGGATCATAGATTTAGATCTGAAAGGTGCTAGTCTAAATCCCTCATTTTATAGATGAGGAAACTGAGACCCAGGGGAGGTGAAGGGACTTATCCAGGGTCACACAGCTAGTAAGTGGCAGAGCCAAAAATCTAACCCAGATTCTCTGGCTTCAAATCCAGTACTCTCTTACCCTGGACAAGTCAAATGTCACCTCTGAACCTCGGTTTCTTTATTTGTAAAATGAGGGAATTGAACTAGTTAGTCTGCAAGATCCTAATCCAGCTCTAATCCCATAAAGTATTTAACCTTCCCTGCCTTCCCCAGCATGAAAGGGAAGTGGTTTGCTCAAGATAGCATAGTTAAGAAGTGACCGAGCCAGGACTTCCTGCTTGGGTCTAAATGACACGAAAGTCAGACTCCCATTTCCCCAACCCTGCAGATTTTTGGCATTTGTAACATAGCCTTGTCAGAACCCTACCCTTGTGTTAATATTGTCGGTACTCTGATTTGATGAAGTGTTAACTTTCAGCCTTCACCCTATCCTAGCAAGGTTGTCTGCTGTCACAAACCAAGAGGTTTGCTTCCCACCTTGAAGGATTTGGCCCCAATCCAATTTGGACCTATAAGAACATATTGTTTCTTGATCTTACAGTTATTTTGCAGCACCTACTTCTCTACAGGCAATCAACGCATGCTTAGGGATGATAATAGTGAAGCAATAGTCCAAAGAGGAACACAATAGGTTTCCAGGTTTTCTAAATACTCTGCTTGATTGCCCCTCTAGAGAATCTTTCTCCCTCTGCATCCAGCACTTCTGCAACCACTCTGCCTTGATGGCAGACCACATACCCTCCTGAGACTTCATCAGAGAGGCAGAACAAATCACTGGGTAATCATGAAAGGCACATCGCTTTACTTGCTAGCCCAATTAAGCCTAATAGTGGTCCTGCTATTAAACTACCTTATTAGATAGAGTTTGGTCCATCTAATTAGATACAAGTGAAAAATATTATACACTTGTGTCACTTAAAAATTTCTTCAAATTGTTAAATAGTTTTATTTTCTAAAATTATCATACAATACCATAAGTCCTTAGAAGGAATATAAATGTTTAAATTTTCTTAACTGTTGGACAGTTAGCAGGGTCTAGTGGTAGGAACTCTTAGATTTACAAACCAGAAGATTTGGCCTGTTGTCTGTGACTTTGCAACTAGATATATGATCTTGGAAAAAGTCACTGAACTTTTCTGTATTTATAGAAGCACTCCAGCTGCCTCGTAGGATAGTACTTACAGTAAAATGAATTAATATAATATAGACTTATGAAGGTACTTCAAAAGAAATATTATTAATTCCAAGAACAATATTATTATTGAGATTATTTTCCATGGGAGTTGAAGCCAATTCATTTTCCATTAACTTTCTCCTTAAACTTAAAAAAAAAAACCCTTTCTCCCTTCACATTTTAGTAGATGTTATGTGTATTCCATAAATCAAATCAGGTATTCAATTATGACAGTCTATAAAAAATAGATGACATTTGATGAAAAATGGTTTTCAGCATATTTCTTCAAACAGACAGAAAAAGTAAATGTTCTTCCGAGCCTCTAGGACTGACAAAAATGAAATGAAAATGAAAGTATTTTCATGTTTAACTTCAGTGTCTCTCTTATGACACAATGGACCAAAAGTTTCAATTTGTCTTTGTATCCTCAGTACCTAAAACAGGTGCCTTGCACATAGCAGCTGTTTAATGAAATGCCTGTTGAATTAAATTGAATGCACTTCATGAATAATTGCAATTATTCCATTGTAAGAGGTCTAGAAGAAAACTGCTTTGTAAGTGGTGATACTCACCTGCAAAAGCAGTCCTGAAATCCACCTACTTATAGCTGTATTCTTTGCTCTTAGAATCACAGAACCTTACAGTCAGAAATTACTTTAGGTTAGAGGTCACCTACTTCACCCACCCACTCAATGCCAATACCACTTGGAATCTTAAGACTAGAGTTGGAGGGGATTGCCAAAGGGACTTAAGATGTCATCTGCTCTATCTCCCAAGTCCTGCCAATATCACACACCAGTGACTGATCATCTAGTATTTTAGTCTCTTCTTGAAAATATCCAGTAATTGGGAACATGCACCTTCTTAATCAAGCAGGCCATTCAATTTCCCGTCTGTGAAATGAAGGGGAGATCCTCTAGAACCAGAAGAGACTTTAAAGCGATGGCCCTATAATAATTGTTAGGAATTGGTTTCCTTATATCAAGTCAAAATCATCCTGTTTAATTTCTAACCAATGATTTTAATTTACCCCTGTGAGGTTAAACAGAACAAGATTAGTCCCTCTTAAACAGGATAACCCTTGAAAAATATGTGATCACATTTTCTTCTTGGGGGTAAACATCTCTAGCTCTTTTCACTGATGTTCTGAATAGTACTGTTTTGAAGACCCTTGCCATTCTAGATGCATTACCCTGGAGAGGTGATGATCCATCCACTGCCTGAATTCTTCCAGATGACAAAGAATTTATTATTTTTTTATTTTTCCATTATACCATATTGCCTCTGTTGACTCAAAACTAAACGTAATACTCTAGTTAACTAGATGAGAGTCTAGTGTAAAGTACAGTGGACGTCACAGAAGCATAGAATATTAGAATTCTAGGGACCCTAACAATTACATTTAGAAACCATCATGTTCAACCAGAGAAGTTAAGTGGCTTTTCTAGTGTCACAGTAGTTAGTGACAGAGCCTGAACTAGAACCTACATCACCTGCCTGTCCATGGTTCTTCCTATTGCATCTCCCCTTACTATGCATCTCCCCAATTAATATTTCAGTCATTCAGTGGAGCTATAATCTCATTGACATTGCTATCCCACCGAAGGCACAGTTCACCATTCCATCCATACATGCCTTCTCATTATGAACAATTCCTTTTCATGTTTTTCCACAGATCCCCAAATACAAGGTGCTAAAGATCTTTTTTTCCCATGGTTGTTGGATAATTTTTCAGTCATGCCCAATTCTACCTAACCCTATTTGGGGTTTTCTTGGGAAGGATATTTGGGTGATTTGCCAGCTCATTTTACAGATGAGGAAATTCAGGCAAACAGGGTTAGGTGACTCGCCCAGGGTCACACACAGCTATAAGTGTCTGAGGATATATTTGAACTCACTAAGATAAGTTTTCCTGACTCCAGCCTGCACTCTACCACTGTGCCACCTAGCTGCCAATATTTTTCTAGGACTCTATAAATTTAGAATTTCGGTTTACACTCAGTCTTGTCATCCTGTTATCCCTGATTACTAATACATGACTCAGCCACTTCTTCCGATCACATATTTCCTGGTATGCCTTATTTCACTTCTTATGCATAGATTATCATTGAAAATATGCTATGCCTACTGGTACCTGCCATGGGCCTCCCTATCGACCTTCCAATCAACTGAAACTTTCATTCTAAGGGATTATGTTACACCAAAATTGTACTAGACAGCATACTTACAGAAAATTTGCATTAAAAATGGACATTTGTGCCAGGAAGGAACTCAGAATTGTTGAAAGCAGTGGTGTAAAGTTCAAATAAAGATGAGGGCACTACACTATAGATAAGGATCCCTCCAAGCCACACATATTGGCTTAGAAAATCACATATTAACATTATCTGTGGTCTACTGTACTTTTTTTTTCCTCTTGTTAAATATTTCCCAATTACATTTTAATGTGGCTCTGGCACTCAAAGACTCTGGTTTAAAACATCACACAATTTTCCAACTCTAATCCAGCCTGCTCTTTTTTGCCTATTCAGTTCTGTATCCAACTACTTGTACAGATCAAATCATCAAACCATGAACTGTATACTCTATACTATAGTTAATGGAGCCCAAGATTACATTTGGGTTTTGGTTTTTTTTCTTGGCAGCTATTGTACATTGCTCACTTATATGGAGCTCTCCTTTAAATAAAACCAGTAGGTCCCTTTCATATGGATTCTTGCTAAATCAGGATTCCCATACTATACTCTTATAGTTGATTTTTTGGCCCAAAGTGCAAGCCTTTATATTAATCTCCACTGTATTTTACCTTGTTAGTCTCAGCCCATCATTCCAATCTGTCAAGACTCTTTTGAATCTTGATTATATTGGCTATCATATTAGCTATTCTTTCTGCAAATTTTTTAAAGAAATTTTTGGTTAATTTTATAAGTAAGTTTTCTCTTTATCCAAGTCATTGATTTACAAAAAGTTGAACAGAATTGGGGCCACTGGGGCAGTTAGGTGGTACAGTGGATAAAGCACCAGCCCTGAAGTCAAGAGGACCCGAGTTCAAATCCAGCCTCAGACCAAACACTTGACACTTAACAGCTGTGTGACTCTGGGCAAGTCACTTAACCCCAACTGCCTAAAAATATCTAGAATTGGGGCCATTTCAGAATCCATCAGCATTGCTGATGGTGATATTGATACCCACCTCCCAACCCAGCTAGGTAGGGCAATAGATAGAGCACTGGCCCTGGAGTTGGGAGGACCTGAGCTCAAACCAGGTCTCAGACCAGACACTTAATACTTACTAGCTGGGCAAGTCACTTAACCTCAATTGCCTCACCAAAAAAAAAAAAAGATGTATTCCCCAATCAACCATTAATTGATATTCATAAATCTACATACTTTGGTCAAATTTGTTCAGTCAGCTACAAATTCACCTAAGTGTACTATTATCAAGTCTATGTTTCTCCATCCTGTCCATGAGTAGAGATATAGGAAATTAAAGTTAAATTTAAAATAAAATTAAAATAAAAAATAGAAACCAAAATTAAAATTATTTATGTCTGTGGCATTCCCTGGATCTAGTAATCTTTTTTTTTTATTTTGAGTTTTCAACATTCACTTCCATAAGCTTTGGAGTTTTAAATTTTTCTACCCCTCCCTCCCCAAGACAGCATGCAATCTGATATAGGCTCTACATGTACATTCCTATTAAACATATTTTCACATTAGTCAGGTGATAAGGAAGAATTAGAACCAATAGGAGGAACCACAAGCAAGAAGAAACAAAACAAAACAGAAGGAAAAAAAGAGCAAATAGTATGCTTCGATCTGCATTCAAACTCCATAATTCTTTCTCTGGATATGGATAGCATTTTCCATCATAAGACTTTTGGAGATGTCTTAGAGCCTTGCATTGCTAAGAAGGGCTAAGTCTATCAAAGTTAGTCATCACACAATGTGGCTGCTACTGTGTACAATGTTCTCCTGGTTCTGTTTATTTCACTTGGCATCTGTTGATACAAGTCTTTCCCGGTTTTTTGAAGTCTGCCTGCTCATCATTTCTTCTAGCACAAAAATATTCCATTACATTCAGATACTACAGTTTGTTCAGCCATTCCCCAACTGATGGGCATCCCCTCAGTTTCCAATAATTTGCCACCACAGAAAGAGCTGCTATAAATATTTTTGTACATGTCAGTCCTTTTCCCATTTTTATGATCTCTTTGGGATACAGCCCTAGAAGTGCTATTGCTGAGTCAAAGGGTATGCACATTTTTACAGCTCTTTGGGCATAGTTCCAAATTGCTCTCCAAAATGATTGGTGTATCTAGTAATCTTGGCAAGAAAATATGGTTAGTTTTCTATTACTTGATCTTGAGGAACTTATGCTGGCCCTAAGTGATCACCCTTTTTCTTTTGTCCATCTGTATTTTCATCCCAACATGAAGATTTTACTTAGGAGATGAAGTGTAAGAAAAAAGAAAGCATAATTGTTCAAAGTAAATTGGAAGATGTTAATGGAGAGTAGAGAGAAGACAGAATTGGTTAACACTTATTTTGCCTCTATTTTCTCTGACAAGAGTGAACTTTGAACTGAGAAGGACCTAAAATGGTCATTAAGAAGCTGATATTCACGATTAGCAGAGAGATAATAAGACAGCATCTAGCTGCCCTTGATGACTTCAGGTCATCAGGCCTAGATGAACTGCATCCTAGGACACTGAAAGAATCAGCAGATATGACTGCTGGACCATTGTTAGTGAGCTTTGAAAGATCTTGGAAACAGGAGAAGTACTACAGAACTGGAGTAACGCAAATGACCCAGTTTTCAAATGAGGGAAGAAAATGAAGCCTGCAAACTATTGGTTTGTAAGCTTGGAATCTGGAGATTTCAAAGCACTTTCACTTAAGTAAAAAGTGAGACCATCTACTATAAGTCTGGGCTTGGGGGTATGGATGAGGATTAGTAAAAAAAGTTTAGAACAATATTTCTGGAGAATGAGATAGAGATTTGATCAGGATTCAAAGATCATTTTTCTTGGCAGATTAAAAAATAGAAGCAAATTAAACGTGTAACTCTGCCTTCTCTCCACCCTCCATTATCATCTTCCAACCCTTCTTGAGCCAAGGTATTACCTTTTCTTTAATCCTCTTCTTTCTCACAATACATTTCCTGAGCAACTGAAAAGAGATCTGATTACATCCTCTAAAAACTAACAGTACATTAACAGATGCTACTTAACAATCTTTGCTCTCTATCCTGATCAAATCCTATCTTATTCCCCAACAGAGATTGTTCCAAACCTATTCTTCTTTCCTTTAACAGCCAACCGCATCACAGAACCCACATTTACAACAGATGACTTTGCCTCCAACTTCTTTGAAAAGATTCAGGTTTTCCAAAACCAATTCCCTCACTTTCCCAACTTAATTCCTCAAAATTTATCAACACCCTCCTTCACTTTCTCTTTCTTTCCCTCTGGCCACAGAGAAGAAGGTATCTCACACAAAGTTCAGACTCCTTTGTGTGGCATTCTTAGTCCTTCACACTCCGTTTCCACCCACCATTCCAGCCTTATGTCATATTTCTTCCTTCCATAACCTCTAGGCTTCAGACAAACTGGAGTTTTCTGCCCCAAAATACAACTTGCACAACCCCAGCTCCACTCCTTTGCTATTATTCTCTCAGAATGCTGAAAGAAGTAGGTAGGAGTCTTGGTGCATTAAATATACAGCAGCAAGTTAAGGCTGCATGTAATGTTAACTATAATGAAAATAAGTGCCTCTGTGATTCAATTACAATGCAAGAAATGTATACCAAACTTGAGACTCTAGGATAAATCATTCGTTATTTATATGCAGGTGACATAGCTTTTAAAACAATTTTGTATTGCATGAATATGTATAATTACTAGACAGTTAAGCTGTAGCCATTTTTTTGTTTTTAATAGTAAATAACCCATTTTGTTAATGTCTTAATAGGGAAAAAATTCCTATATTGTGAGCCACATAAGAGAATTAAGGAAGTTCTCGAAGAAGAACTTTTTATTCAGAGAGATGAATGCCACATCAAAAATCCATCTACAGGTAAAGTCTATGCCTAATACTAAGCATGTATTTAGGAAATGAAAACTAAACTGGCTATTTGAAAATAGCATTTTTGCTGTGTGGGGAAAGGGTTTTTGTTTTGTTTTGTTTTTCCTGAGGAATTATAATCTCCCACAATAATTAAGTTTAAATAACCAAATAAAAGCCTTTGTGTTTAAAAATGATCAATTAAGTTTTTGTATTTAAAAAAGTCTGTTAAGTGGTAATACTTTTTCCCTTTCATTTCAAAAACTTTAATGATCATTTAGAGCAGTTTTTCAATTAAATGGAAAATATAACATATTTTGCTATCTTTTAATGAGTGTGACTATGAACATAATAGTATAAAGAATTTGCATCATCTAGATTGGTCAGTGACATTCTATACACACACTCACATGTTTATATGTTTTAATTGAATCTGATTGATAAATCTTATTGATGGTTCTTCAGATGACCATCCATAGATGTTATATTGAAACATTGCTATTATTTGAACACCTGCTTTTACATTGTTCTCCACTGCTAAGTATTCAGTATAGTCTTTGATTTACAATGTTATTGTTAGTTTTGTTAGGAAAGTTATTTTTCTGTTTTATATGTGATGTTAAAAAGTTTATTTATGTCTTGGGAGTCCAAAATTTTAATAGAAAAACAGCTCTCAAATTATCACGTATGTCAGTGGAGCAATATTATTCAATATACAAAATCTCAGTTTGCACACATTTTTCAAGAATTCATCTATCAGTGAAGTAAGGCATTCCTATATACTGTATGCTTAGTTATTAACTAAGCATACTATATGCTGTATATTTACTTGTTAACACCCACTAGAGGTCGCACAAAATATGTTTTCAAAGCAGTTGATTTGTTTACTTTATTTAGTTAGGTTTACTAAGACAGGTTACTGAAAGCACAAACCCTTTCTCCACTGGTTTATGGGGGCCAGAATATGGGGAGAAATTGGAGTGAAAATGCAAGACAGGAGCCATAACAAGGCAAAGAAGGCAAGACAAGAGACAGGCTTAGGACTCAAATGGTCCAAGGCAGGAATGAACTATGAAAGCTAATAGTAATCACATTGGAGCTAAGTTGTTGCTGCTGCTATTGTTGTGGTTCAGTTGTGTCTGACTCTGCATGACCCCATTTGGGATTTTCTTGGCAGAAGTACTTGAGTGGTTTTCCATTTCCTTCTCTAGCTCATTTTACAGATGAGGAAACTAAGGCAACCAGGGTTAGGTGACTTGCCCAGGGTCACACAACTGGTAAGTGTCTAAGGCCAAATTTGAACCCAGGAAGATGAATCTTCCTGACCCCAGGCCCGGCACTCTTATCAACTGTGCCCCTAGATGCCCCACTTCAAAAGGAGCACCAGGTACTTGTATCTTTTCCATTAGTTGAATGGTGATCCAGTATATAAATGATTTTGTAAATTATCTAGGTAGAATGTTAGTTATGTGAAAAAGCAGAGGTTTATATCTGCCTCCAGTCCAATCCAAGTTAATCTCACAAATATTTGTTAAGTGTGTAACATGTACACTTTGTCTTTTGAATACAAAGACAAAATGAAAAACGGGAATCCTCCTGGACAATACAACATTTAAATGGCTGAGTTAGACACGGGATCATGGATTTAGAGCTGGAAGGAAATTTTAGAGGTCATCCAGTTCAACCATCTTCATTATACACGTGAAGGAATGGAAAGCCAGTGACTCTTAAGGTCCCACAGATAGTGAACAGGTGGCAATGTGAATGCAAGTCCATTTGCTTTCACATCTAGAGCTCTTTCCACTGTCCCACACTGATGAACATCTAAGGGGTTTACAAAGTGATTCCCTTCCAAGCCTGGAGGAAGGCTAGGGAAAGGCCCCAACATCTGATATGGCAAGCTGAATTTGAAGAACAGTAAGGAGGCTAGTTAGTACTAGGCATAGAAGGGGACTAACATGAAATAAGCCTGAAAGATAGGCTTGAGTCAAGCTAAGAAGCTTATATTTTATTCTAGAGGAAATAAGGAGTCCCAAAGGTTCTTGGGAAGGGAATGACATAGTCAAATGTGTTTTTTGGTTATTTTGGTGATTGTGTGGTAGATGAACTGGAGCGGGGAGAGTTTAGAAGCTAGGAGTCCAATTTGAAGGCTGTTGTAATAGTCCATGCAAATGGACTAAGATAAGGGTCTGAATTTGGGTGGTAGCCATGCAAATAAAAAAGGGGATAGATGCCAGATAAATTGTGAAGGAATAATCTACCAGATTTAACAATTGATTGGATTGGCAGTCAGGGATAAAGAAGAGTTGAAGATGACTCCAACCTCTGACTGGAAGGATTGTGGTACTCTCCAAAGAGACAGGCATTTCTGGAGGAAGAAGAAGGGGTAACGAATGAGAAAGATAATGAGTTCCATTTCGGACATGTAAAGTTTGTGATGACTGGGAGGATTTCCAGCTGAGCATTATCCAACCAGCAGCTAGTGATGTGGGACTAGAGACTGGAATTAGATATTTAGATTGTCAAGTCATTTTGCATAGACATGATAACTGAACCCATAGGAGCTGATGAAATCAGAGAGAGAAAGGGCACAGAGGGGGAAGAAAAGAAGGCCTAGGACAGAACTTCTGGGGAGATATGCCACTAGAAGGACAAACATGGAGGATAGTCCAGCAAAAAGTGGGGGGGGAGGATTAAAGAAAGCTAAAAAAAGGAAGATTTAAAAAAACTTTTTTTAAAAATAAAAAATTTTGGGGCGGAGCCAAGACAGCAGAGTGAAAGCAGTGACTTGCTTAAGCTCTCCCACAAACCCCTCTAAATACTCATAAAAAATGGCTCTAAACAAATTCTGAAGCAGCAGAACCCACAAAAAGACAGAGTGAAACAAATTTCCAGCCCAAGACAACCTAGATGATTGATCAGAAAGGTGTATCACGCTGGGAGCACAGCGTATAGTGGGAGCGCAGGCCGCAGGGGACCTGGAGCAGGCCTCAGAGGAGTGAGTCACGGGCAGCTGTGGAGGTTTCCAGACTCCTCAACCCATTAATGCCAAAGACAACTTAGAAGGTCAGTGGGAAAAGTCTGTTTCTGTTGGTGCTGAGAAAGGAAGGCGGGGTCTCAGCTTCATTCCCCAAAAGCATGGTCCTGGGGGGGTCAGCTGCTTCCCGAGCTTCTGGCCGACAGACCGAGGGGGAATCCAGTGGCTGATCAGAGAGGGATTGCAGGGATCTCTTGGCCAGTGCTGAGGCAGGAATCTCTTGCTTTGCCCGTGTTTGTGAGAAGGAACGCTGGTGTGGTGGAGCTTGTAGGGGCTGTGGAGAGGAACCCCTCCTCACAGTTACAGGACAGAAAGGAATACTTGTGGTCACAGGCCAGGAAAGGAGTAAACACCTTGCCCCTTATCATACCACCTTGCAAGAACTGAAAATTTACAGGTACCTACAAGTATCTCTGAAAACAGCTGTACAAACCCCTGAACCTTGGGACAGTACATTCTCCACATTGGAAGCAGACTCTTACCTTAACAAAGAGTTTAAAACTTAAGTAATTGGCCGGGATCATGAGCAAGCAGCACAAAAAGAGTCAGACTATATTATCTTACTTTGGTGACAAAGAAGATCAAAATATACAACCAGAAGAAGACAACAAAGTCAAAGCTCCTACATCCAAAGCCTCCAAGAAAAATATGAATCAGTCCCAGGCCTTGGAAGAGCTCAAAAGGGATTTTGAGAAGTAAGGGAAGCAGAGGAAAAACTGGGAAGAGAAATGAGAGTGATGCAAGAAAATCATGAAAAACAAGTCAACAGCTTGCTAAAGGAGACCCAAAAAATACTGAAGAAATTAACACCTTAAAAAATAGCCTAACCCAAATGGCAAAAGAGGTCCAAAAAGCCAATGAGGAGAAAAATGCCCTAAAAAGAAAAATTGGCCAAATGGAAAAGGAAGTCCAAAAGACTACTGAAGAAAATACTTCCTTAAAAATTAGAATAGAGCAATTGGAAGACAGTGACTTTATGAGAAATCAAGACACTGTAAAACAAATCCAAAAGAATGAAAAATTAGAAAACAATGTGAAATATCTCATTGGAAAAACAACTGACCTGGAAAATAGATCCAGGAGAGAGAATTTAAAAATTATTGGACTATCTGAAAGCCATGATCAAAAAAAAGCCTAGACATCATCTTTCAAGAAATTATCAAGGAAAACTGCCCTGATATAGTAGAACCAGAGGGCAAAATAGAAATTGAAAGAATCCACAGATCTCCTCCTGAAAGAGATCCCCAAAGGAAAACTCCTAGGAATATTGTAGCCAAATTCCAGAGTTCCCAGGTCAAGGAGAAAATATTACAAGCTGCCAGAAGGAAACAATTCAAGTACTGTGGAAACACAATCAGGATAACACAAGATTTAGCAGCTTCTACATTAAAGGACCGCAGGGCATGGAATATAATATTCCAGAGGGCAAAGGAGATAGGATTACAACCAAGAATCACCTACCCAGCAAAACTGAGTATAATCCTTCAGGGGAAAAAATGGTCATTCAGTGAAATAGAGGACTTTCAAGCATTCCTGATGAAAAGACCAGAGCTGAATAGAAAATTTGACTTTCAAATACAGGACTCAAGTGGAACATGAAGAGGTAAACAGGAAAGAGAAATCATAAGAGACTTATTAAGATTGAACTGTTTACATTCCTGCATGGAAAGATGATATTTATAACTCATGAGACCTTTGTCAGTATTAGGGTAGTTGGAGGAAAAATTATATGTATGTATAGACAGATAGATAGATAGATAGATAGATAGATAGATAGATAGATAGATAGATAGATAGATAGATAGAAGGCACAGGGTGAGTTGAAGATTAAGGGGTCATATCTGGAGAATAAAATTAAGGGATGAGGAGGATTATACTCAGAGAAGAAGAAAGGGAGAGGTAGAATGGGGTAAATTATCTCACAAAAAAAAACAGAAAAGTCTCTTACAGTGGAGGGGAAGCAGGGGAAGGTGAGAGGGAATGAGTAAATCTTATTCTCATAGGATTTGGCTTAAGGAGGGAATAACATACACATTCAATTGGGTATGGAAATTTGTCTTACCCTACAAGAAAATAGGGGGAGAAGAGGACAAGAGAGTAGGGGGATGATAGAGAGGAAGTGCAGACTGGAAAAGGGTGTAATCAGAAGTAAGTACTTCTGAGGAGGAACTGGGTCAAAAAAAGAATAGAATAAATGGGAGGGCAGGATAGGATTAAGGGAAATAGAGTTAGTTTTTCACAACATGTCTACTATGGAAGTGTTTTGCATAACTGCACGTGTACAACCTATATTGAATTGCTTGCCTTTTCAATGAGGGTAGGTGGGGAGGGAGGAAGAGAGAAAATCTGAAACCTAAAGTTTTAAAAACATATTTTAAAAAAGTTTTCAGATGCTATCAGGAAATAAGAAATACAGGAAATGGGGTACAGAAGTCTATCCTGCCCTACAGGAAAATAGAAGCGGGAGGGGATAAGAGAAGGGGGGAAAGAAAGAAAAGAGGGCAGACTAGGGGAAGGGATATTCAGAATGCATGCCATCTTGGGGTGGGGGAAGGGTGAGACAGGGTGAAAATTTGGAACTCAAAAACTTGTGGAAATGAATGTTGAAAACTACAAATAAATAAATTTATATAAAAAAAAGTTCAGTTCACCAAAAAAATAAAAATAAAAAATAAAAAATTTTAAAAAAGGAAGATTTGGAAGAGCAGCTGTGGGGAGTATAGTGGAGAGTTAATTTGGAAGAATAAAGGGATTATTGTGCTTCAGTGAACACTATAAAACAATGCAAATTTGTGGTGGGTCAGTTCGCTAGTTTGAATACTGGAAAAGAGTAGGCAGAGATAATGGAGGTTAGATGGAATTGCAATTTGACAAGATGTGAATGGAGATAATGCAAGGCTGTGCTATGCATCCATTCATAATAAAGAAAAAACATTGATTTGTAATGGTAAGTTTCATCATCCTGATAAACAAATGCAATCATATGATCAGATAAAAGAAATGAAAATTGGAACCAGAAAAATATGTGGGATTCCAAGAACAAGGAAGAATTCAGTAGATTTCAGTATTCCTAGTAACTTCCTGAAGTTCTTCCTTCCAGAACTCTTTGTCTCAGTGGCATAGAGATAATATTAGACTTTCACTTTGGAATCAAAAGATTCTTCACTACTGACTGAGACACTGTCTAAGCTTCTAAATTTCTATATTCAAATTTAGGGTTATACTTATTCACTTTTCTAAATCTCTCTTTTTTTTTTGTTCCTAATGTATGATTTGAAGTGGGGGATTTCCTTTATGGAAATTCCCCATCAGAGCAGATTGGCAACTCGTCTATAACTTAGGAGTCTTATGCTTTCAAAATCTTAAGAGTATGTAAGCTTTTCCCCCAGCTAAGTCCTGCAAAGTTAACTGTTATGAAACTAGTGAATGCTTTGAAAAAAGGGGGCTTAAAAATTCTCATTTTCCATAGTTGTAGACTGGTTTTTCTCTTGTTCTATGTTTAAGTCTTCCTTCATTGCCTTATTTTGGCATGGAGTCTGGGTTCTCAAAGGCTATGCCAGTGGACCACAAGGTCTGGCAGATTCTGCCATGCTGGAAAGGTCTTAGGTATGGGCTCCTGACAGTCTTTACGTTTATCAATCAAACTCTAGTCTAACAGCTTGGAGAGGTTCATCACCAGGTAGAGTACAAGGTGGTAGTGTTTGGCCATAACACTTCTCAAAGATCAACTATCAAGTCATTGAGCAACTGCAGTATGTATCAGTGAAGAGAATAAGCAAATGACAAAGTATTTCTCTTGTTCACAACATATCTGGGACCTTGGTACCTTTTGCAATGAATTTGAAAAGGTTTTACTAAATCAATGAACTGTTAAACGTCTCCCATTCAACAAGAGAAACTACTGGGAGAAGGTCTGGTATAACAGAAAACCATTGCAGCTCCCCTGGCAAGCAGGGGGTTGCTCAGACCTGGCAGTGTGAGGAGTGATCTGAGTTAGTATTTAGGTTACAAAGATGAAGGCATCAGGACCCTGCCTCTGTAGAAGCATCTCGCTCACAGGCATAATGTTAACCTTCAACCTATGACCTCAATATACCGGTCTAGGGCCTTGCATCCTGGTTCTCCCAGGAGAAGAGCCAAGTAACATTCTCTTCCTTGTCAGCAAAGCAGTGTAGGGACTTTGCTTATAAGGGTGAGAATAATCTCCTAGACAAGACTTTTAACTTCACATTTCTGCCCCAGATTGGAAGGCCTTAGAGAAAAGGTGGTACAGGGACCAGCACTTCTGCTGGAATGCTCAAATACAAAATCTTCTGTTTGACATTCAAAGTCCTTCATAACCTAAGGCCCCCTCCTCCACCCACTACTTTTCCAGTCTGCTTACACTTTACCTTTCCCCCACTCCTACTCATACTCTGCCATCCCAGGACACTGACACCCCCCACCCCCAATCCCACCCCCATGTTCCTCCACAAACAAAAATACTTTATCTCCCGACTCCAGGCATTTTCACTGACTGTCCCCCATGCCTGGAATTCTTTCCTTCCTCATTTCTGCCTCTAGGTTTCCCTGTCTTCCTTCAAACCCCAGCTAAAAATCCCACCTCTACAGAAGGCCTTTCCTAATCTCTCTTCTAGTTCCTTCCCTCTGTAGAGTATTTCCTTTTTATCCAATATAGTCATATTTTTGTACATTTTTTTTGCATGCTGTCTCTCCCATTAGACTGTGAGATCCTTGAGGGCAAGATCTGTCTTTTCCCTTTGTAGCTTCAGTGCTTAGCACAGTATATGGCATGTAGTAGGTGTTTAATAAATGCTTATCAAGTGACTGACTTTAGTGTACAAAGGGACAGAGGAAATAATTGGAATGACCATAAAAACAAACCATTCCTTCGAGCAAAGGACAAGAAGGAAAACCCTTACTACTGAACATGACAAGCTTGGTGTTGTGCTGAACCACTGACACTGGGAAGGTGGCTGACCAGCTAATGGTAGCCAGGCTGGTACCTGCCCTGAATGCCAGCTGATAGAGGGGGGTGTCTGCACTCAATTCCCACCAGTCACATTTAGAGAGAGGCCAGCTCGCTGTCCTCCTTTTCCCTCCTACTAACCCTCTCCCTACCAGAAGACTTTTCTCTAAGGCACTTATCACATTGGTATCTTCTCCTGCCCTTCCTAGGCCTGCCCTAGGGCAGAGATTGTCTATATAAACTCTATCCCCCACCCAACCTCAGGGACATAGCAGGCACCTGACAAACATTTGTTGAATGTACAAACAAGTGAAATAAAGGAATGAGTGAATTTAATACTTGAGTACCTAAAAGAAAAGACATACTTCTTAAATTTAATACTCCAATATCCTTCTTTGTGCAACTTGAGAAAAATTAAGAGTGCTATTCATCAAAATATATAGTTATATCAATATAACTGTCAAGCCAAAAAGTCTAATGATAATTTATATTATTTTTATTATTTTTTTAAATGATTACAAAAATTGGGGCAGCTAGGTGGAGCAGTGGATAAAGCACCAGCCTTGAAGTCAGGAGGACCTGAGTTCAAATGTGGCCTCAGACCAAACACTTGACACTTACTGTGTGACCCTGGGCAAGTCACTTAACCCCAACTGCCTAAAAAACAAAAACCAAAACAAAAATGGTTACAGAAATTAACTAATAGACCACATTTATATTACGGAAGTATATAGTATACCATTCTAAACTTTCTTCTACATAAGTCAGTTTTCACAGTCCAGAGATGACATGCAGGAACCAAAATATGAATATGAATCTATGATTATACTTGTCTTTTTTTTTTTTTTTATAAAAATCAGGTACACTTTCTAGGAATCTCAGGAAGAAATATTGGGGTTGGTGACTCAAGCAGTTCAGGATATGGAAGAAACACAAGCAGAACAAAAAGATAAGAATAACATTTGATGCCAAGACTCAGTACAAGTGTCTGATTCCTGACCCTTAACTTTCTTCTCATGCTTGTTGTCCTTCCTTGCTCCAGCTCTTCTTGAATTCACAGTGGAAAGAGGCCTGAAGTTGGGTCAGAAGAACTATTTCTGCCACTTATTAGCTGCAGATAGCTGTAGAGGCAAATCTTTTAATCTCTCTGCTCTCCAGAATCTCTGTAATTTTCCACTTACTCATCTGTAAAATGGAAGTAACAATAATATTTGGATTACCTGCCTTGATGTATTATTGGAAGCAAAGTGCTTTGTAGACCATAAAACAATACATGTGCTGTCATTGCTATTGATGAACCCTTATATTTGGCCCACCTCTCTCTTCCTCACTGTGTCCCTGATGCTTTCCTTTTGGACTGGAAGAGTTGTGCGTGCTCGCCAGCAAAAGAAACAGCTGCCACAAAGAGTGAACCTACTGTCCCCTTTCAGCCTGCCCAGATACAAAGGAACATCTTTCACAGCGAACTTTATCAAAAGCACACAAGCTACATGAGTTTTCTTGTGTCAGAACTGTCCATTCCCTAAACACAGAACAAGAAGGGCACCATATCTATCAATTCATATCTGCAGTTACATTATTTGTTTTGTGCATCCCTGTGCATTTTCATTTGCAATTGTACTCATTATACTTAGAATGTATTCAGAGGCAGCTATGGTAACTGAATCTAAAAGAGCACAAATGAATTAAACTGGACTGCAGATATGTTCTGTCTAATGCACTTTAACCTACCTTGTGCAAAAATACCTTGCTTACTTCCGGGGAGATACAGGGATGAAAATAGCCACTGCTTACTGAAGCTCAGGCACAGTTCTATCCATTTGGAGTTAAAGGGGCCTCAAAGGCCATCTAGTCTGAATCCGTGGTTTTATAGATCAGGAAACCAAGACCCATCAAGTTCCCCAATATTATACAAATAGTGTCAGAGGTAGAATTTGAACTCGGATTCCCTTGACTCCAGGATTGATGCCCTTTTTTTTTTCCTTTCTTTTAGGCAATTGGGGTTAAGTGACTTGCCCAGGGTCACACAGCTAGTAAGTGTCAAGCGGTTGGTCTGAGGTCGGATTTGAACTCAGGTCCTCCTGACTTCAGGGCCAGTGCTCTATCCATTGCGCTACCTAGCTGCCCCCCAATTGATGCCGTTTCTCTTGTACAAAGTTGCATACATAGTTCTGTCCTATACTTTTTAAACTGACACTACATTCCTTCACAAAGTGTAGGGCTAACCTGAATCTATTTCATTATTCCCAGCATTAGGAAGCTAGATGACACAATAGGTAGAGCCATGGTCTTAGAGTCAGGGAGACCTGAGTTGGAATCCACCCTTAGATACTAACTTGTGACCTTGGGCAAGCCACTTAACCCTGTTTGCCTCAGTTTCCTCATCTATAAAATGAGCTGGAGAAGGAAATGGCAAATCACTCCAGTATTTTTGCCAAGAAAACCCCAAATGGGCTTATAAAGAGTTGGACATGACTCAAACAACTTAGTAAGCTAGGTGACCCAGTAGATAGAGTGCTTGGCTTGGACTCAGGAAGACTTATCTTCCTGCGTTTGTAATACAGAACATTATTTTACCATTTAGGTAGTAGGGCCCTTTGGGCCATGGAAAGCAGAAGTTGCTGCTTAATCTTGCCCCAGACCTCTTTCCTCCTAAATCTAAACAATAGTGAAATGTACTCTTGCATAGCTTAGCATAGCCCATACCTCCAGCGCAAATGGATAAGAAAGCTTGCAGTATAATTACATTTATACCAGAGACCAGGACACCTGGTCTGGTTTGTGTGATCCCTGACCTATAATGATGGGGTGCTCGGGTGCTTGTGCTTATACTTGTGCCCCAAATGTCTCCCTAGTCTCAGAAACACTGTCTCTGACAACCACTCCCCAGCCCAAGGACACTGTGCCTAGCAGTTATTCATGCATGGGCCTCAGCACAACCCTTATCTGGCTGCTCAGGCCCCAGCCCTCAGATCATGTCTCTGGAAGCCTCCCAATTTCTTAGTTGTGAGAAAGCTTTCCTTTGTTGCAGAGTATTCTTTCATCAAGACAGAGGAAGAGGGGTGTCCTTGACCAGCCCAAGAACTCTTCCTCCTGCCAGACTTCAAAGATCCATTCCCTTCCCTGTCCAGTATACTCCCTGTACTTTCCCATCCACAGCCCCCAAAGACACCTGCATCTTTGGATTACCTCATCAGTGTTCCTGGCATTTCTTTCCCATGCTCTCTTCCATATAAACCCTAGCTCAAGCCCTGATAGGGGCTGCTTGATTTGAATGTGCATACCCCTTGCAGCTGGGCACTAATAAATCCACATTTTAAATTATGTCTGGGTCTTGCTTGCTGATTTCTCGGTACAACAAGTTCAAATCTGGCCTCAGACACTTACTAATTTCGTGATGCTGGGCAAGTCACTTAACTCCTGTTTGCCTCAGTTTCCTCAACTACAAAATAAGGATGATAATAAACCTACCTTCCAGGATTGCTGTGAAGATCAAATGTAGGTACTATATAATTTCTAGGCTAGCTTCACACTTTAACCTGAATCTAATTTCCTTTGTTACTCTGGACAGGTGCCTACTACAACGGGCCCTTAATAAATGTTTGTGGACTGATTGGCTGAATAGGGAGGCCATTATATGAAGGGTGGTGATCAGCAATTTTCTACCTCCTGGCAGGATAGGAGAAAAGGAAATTGGTTTGAATTGCAGAAAGAGATTTAGGTTAGATATAAGGAACTACTTACACATTGTAAGATTTTTACAGAAGGAGGCTGTGGAGTCACTTTCCTTGAAGTTGTTTTAAGAAAAGAATAAAAGCCTGCCTTGTTAGATGGCTAAGGCAGGATTCTGTTTGCAGATACTCCATTCACCAATCAGGGAGTGGATGAAAAATGCAAGGAGTTCAGTTTTGCAAAAACAACACACTGCCACTTAATGTCTAAGTGAATGAGGGATGTCAATGAGACTGGATGATATGTCAGTGTTTACAGCTTAACATTATTTTCCTCACAACCCTGTGAGACAGACAATAGCTGTAACTATTATTATCTTCATTTTACAACTGGGGCTCAGAGTCCATAGCTAGAAAGTGATGTATTATGTAAGGGAACTCTGAACTTTAGTTTAACCCCAGTGGCTCCCTATTACCTCTAGAATCAAATAGAAACCCCTTTATTTGGCCCTCACACCTGGTCTCCATTCTACTTTTCTAGCTGTGCTACAGATTACTCTCCTTCACCCCCCCCACGGACTGCCAAACTGGCCTTTCTGTTCTTCACTCACAACACCCCTCCTGCCTTGTTTCCCATGCATCGCTGAGTGCCCATGCCCAAGATGCATTTCCCTCCTCACTACTGCCTCCTAGAATCCTTAGTTCCCTTCGAAGCTCAGCTCAGATGCCATCTCCTACATCAGCTCTTCTGGATCCCCCAACTGCCAGCACCTTCACCCTCCCCATTACCTTGTACACTTTTATATATACTTATATATGCCCATGCAGTCTGCTGCAACAACGATGTAAGCTCCTGCAGCCAGGGACAGTTTCTTTATTGTCTTTGTATTACCCAGCACCATGATGTCTAGCCCAGGGATGGGGAACCTTCCGCCTCAAGGCCACATGTGGCCCTCTAGGTTCTCAAGGGTGACCCTTTGACTGAATCCACACTTCAACGAAGAACAAATCCCCTCAAAAGTCAAAGGGCTGCACTTGAGGATCTAGAGGGCCACGTGTGGCCTTGCAGGCCACAGGTTCCCCACCCCTAGGCTGGCCCCATAGGAGGTTCTTAATAACGATTGATTGATGAAACATTCTTGGCAACATAAAGACATTTTAGAAACCATGCAGAGCATGGTTGCTGCCTTGGCCCAATGAAGAATATTTATTTATTTAGTACTGTAGTTATTAGCCCCAGAAACAAGACAAACAATTCCTCCTGTTTCTTTGGATATGTCCATTACTCCCTGCTTTCCACAGGGGTGAAGTGTTCTGGACTCCCCATAAGTCCTTTTTGACTTTAAGACTTTTTTTATTTTGGCTAGGCAATGGGGTTAAATGACTTGCCCAGGGCCACACAGCTAGTAAGTGTTATATGTTTAAGGCTGGATTTGAACTCAGGTCCTCCTGACTCCAGGGCTGGTGCTCTATCCACTGCACCACCTACCTGCCCTTGACTTTAAGACTTTTAAGACAGCTACTCCTTGGGAGTTAATGCCAGCTCCATGAGCAGATTATTAAATTATATTTATTGAATTGCAGCTCTCGGCCTGTGAGTTTTACATATTAATTTGTCCTTGTATCTGCATATATCATAGGTACTGCTTCTCAGAAATGCTTGCTACAATTATTTTGAAGCATAGGCCGAGATCCATCCATAAGATCTAGAGTTTTCTTTACTTCTCTCAATTTAAGGATTGGTGAAGATTCTTGGATTCATTGGAGAACTGGGCATGGTCACATTTGGTCAGATCACTCATTTTTGCAAATTATCATTTTGTAAATCCTGCTTCCAGGAATTAAATGAGAGTCAGAGAAGGTTGATGGCATGAAATAATTCCAAAAATTATTTCCTAGAATTCTATGCTAAAGTTAGATGAAGGTCACAGAAATTTGAATCTTAGGGGAATTCTGTGAACACATGATACTCTGCCGGAGGTTTCACTTAATACAATTTAGTAATGTTAGGTACACCAGTTAGCTCTACATATTTATTGGTCCAGAACTATAATTTTGTTGGTGGAAGGAACTTCTAGTGAGGAAACTCCCTTCATCAAAGCAGATGAGAAACTCTGCTCCTAGAGAGCTATCCAGAACACCAAGGAGTTGTGTCATGCCCAGGGCACAAAGCAGTATGTCTCAGGGGCAGGCCTGGAACCTGAGCATTCCTGACTCTTACAGCTGTTTGCTTTCCACTAACCACTATTCTGTACTGCCTGCCACTTCATTATATTTATCACCAAGTTTTATCCTGTATGTTTTTTACTCTGATTTTTATCCAGATTTATTTACAGGCAAGTGAAATTAACTAAAAATTTTGAAAATACTTAATAAGAGCTTGTTAATGAAAATAATCTTATTTGCTTGATTTAACAAGGAAACCAATTAATTTAGTAACAAACTAAAGAATCATCTAAAAACAGTTAAAAGGTTGGGTTTTTTTTCATTATTTAGGCTAGAAAGCAAAACAAGCTGAATAACAACTCATTTTATTGTTTTTAAAAATATTGACAGTGGCTCTGGAAGGGATCTGGAGCATTAAAAGGAATTTCTCCGTGGGAAACTTGAAGCCAGGATCACAGAATAAAAACAGTTTACTTCCACCACCTAAATACTATTCCAGACATGGAGGAATAAGAAGTAAGATACACACGATCTTGTAGCTCAGAAGAAAGAAAGCATGTTTGATTATGAACTAATGTGATATAATGTATTAGGACAGCTTTGAATCAATTTTTTTTCCTTTTACAGTTTCCATTCATTAGAAAGTGTTTAGTGATATCTACTTTAACTTGGTGTTCAAAATGTGGCACAGTTTACCTGTTTCACATCTTGATGCAACAGACATTTATACTAAATTATACTCATTATTTTCTTTCAAATGGGTTTTCAGGAACAGAGTTATCATCAGCGCCCTAACAGAGGAAGATTCTCCCATATTTGCTTTTCTCCAGCTGGCTACATACCTATGATCATACAA